AGCAAAAGTTTATCCTAGTATTTGTTATATATATGGTAGTCCTAATGTTGAAAAGATAGATTCAAATAATATACATCCAACATATAACAACTGTGCTACAAATTCAAATTCAAAAAAGCATTATAAGTAGAAGCCATTGGATAAAGGAAATAGTAAAAAATCTTGTAACAAAGCATTGTAGGTTTGAAATATCAATTAGTATATATGCATATGCACGTGCATATATACGTCATACAATTATGTACATACGTATGTAACTCAAAATAAATATTAAAAATTGTTTATATGCAGTGTATATATAGTCAATTCTGATTGGTTAACTTTTTACTGCACCTAAAAATTAAAATTTTTTGATTGGGGTTTGCTAACCTGGCCAGGTTATGAGAACCAAAAATATCAGTTTGTATAGCCTAACATTTCAATAGATTTCTGGCCTTTGAACCAGTTGAGGACCCACTACAGATGAATACGCTCAATGCTAATAGCTTGAAGGTTATTGAAACCATATACTGGAGGCAGATCAGTGCTACTGTAATCGATAAAGAGATACTTTCATGTGGTCATTTTTATCTTGAGTGTGCCATTTAGTAAGGGAACTGTATAGGAGCTGTCATAGGATGGCTTGTAGGATGTACCTTGCAAGCCATTGGAGCTGACTGTCAAGTTGTCAAGAAGAGGTGTTAGAGGGCAATTACCTTGCTGAGTTCCAGTGTTTATGCTACTGTGTTCTTTATTTTGTTGAGTTGGTGAAATGCTAAACTTATGATTGTGATGTGAAGTAAGAGGCTTGTCTTGTGGATTAGATTCATTATGCTGTTGTGGTCTGGTGGTATGTTGATGGTGAGTCTGCTGAATCTGATTAAAACATAAATCTAAACACTTATTTATTTTAGCGATCATATTCTTGTGTGCCTCATTGTTTTGGTCGATGTATGTCTTGATTGCTAAAATTATTGTGTTTGATGATGCTTGACATGCTGTGTCAATGTATGCCTTCATGTTACTGTCAATTTTGGAAAAATCAGTTACAGACGGTGTACCATCGGCTAAACATGCCTCTGTTTTGTCTAGGTTGGTGCTTTTGCTCATGTTGTTACTTGATGTTGCTTGCACTCTTATATATATATATATATATGTTTTTTTTTTTTTTTTTTTTTTTTTGCAGAAATTTGATAAAGGTTAAATTGGTTACAAATTAGAGTTCGCATTTTACTGTAACCTAGAGCCTGTATTTATATGGTGACATATGCTATAGCATGACATTACTGATTATTTCATTAATGGGTCGGTTTCTATGCCCTGTATCCTCTCCCGATTCTGGCATGTGGCCCGATTGGGTCGTGGTAGTTATGTGAAAATTGATAATAGCATTTTGCTTAGTTTTTCGAATAGTTGACTCTGTGTCAACTTATATTAAAAAGCATAAATATTATATATATTAATTTCTTAAAAATATTATATATATATTATTTCTTAGAAATATTATATATATATTATTTCTTAGATTTCTTTCATATATATATATATTTTTTTTTAATCTTTGGCAGCCTTGCTGATCACTTTTATTAAGAGTCTTATATATATAATTTTGTACAAAGTTGGCTTAAATTCTGGCTTAACATCCTCTGGCTACTTCTATAAGTGCTCAGAAGCAGTCTGCCATACTGACCAGATGTTAATCTGGCCAGAGGGCTATATCAAGCTAGTTGTTAGAACTATAAAAGAATGGTTTTATCTTTCTTTCTATATAATCTCTAACTGAACCTAACTAAGAACTTTTTATTTTTTCTTCTTCTTCTTTTTTCTTTTCTTTTACAGCTTGGTCTTGAACCTTTTCTAAAACTCCTTTGTCTATTTTTTTTATTAAATTTCTTACTATATTACTTTTTGAAATACCTTCTTTCTTTTTTTTGTTTACAAAACTAATTTTGTTTGCCTTTTCCTAGTCAGTAACTGCTTTACAGTGTTTTTTTTATATATTTTTAAAGAAACCATTCTATGCTGTATTTGTCTATATTGTTATAAACTTCTTAGTTTCTTTGAAAGTTGAGTAAGACTTTGTATTGTTATTTTGGCTTTTTCTTAGATTAGCACTTCATGCTTTTGGATCTACATTCTTTTTTCCCTTTTGCTAAGTTTCCCAATAAGATTTCTGTTAGTTCCAATTTGCTTGTTTTCTTCTGAGACTTTCATATATATAATATTTTTTATATATAATATTTATAATATATATAATATATCTATTATATTTTTTATATCTTATATATATTAGTATTACTATGTATAGTATTTATTAATAATAGAATAGTCTTTATTGTAATTATTTATACATTTATAAAAGTACTACTTTCTTGTTCTTCAAGAAAGTTAAGTATCTTTATATATTTTAATAAATAATAAATAATATAATTCTTAGTATTTTTATATACTATTTATTGTCACCTTTGTCTTAAAACACCAATTATTATATACATTGTTAAGTCTTATATAAATACTGTTTAAAGCTATTAAATTATAGTTTTTATATTATATTGAACAACTTCTGTTATTGCTATTAAAAATAAAAAATTTTTAGATTAATATTATAGAAATTTTTATAAGCTTTTATTAGTCTAATAGTATTGTTAAAAGTTTATATTATCTTTGTAATTAAAATTTTCTAAAAAAAATTCTATTTTTTTTTGTTTTTTTTTAGTTTTCTGCATCTGGTAGTCTTATTATGGATTTGCATCAAAGTTTTATACAATATTAGTTTTAATATTCTTTTATATATATGTAATATTATATTTAATATAAATGTTTTAAATTTTTAATAATAAATAAAACTGACTTAGTATATTTAAGATTACAGATTTATAAATTCAACTGAAGGATTATAGTGGATAAGATGTCAACCTTCAAGTAATAGGTTGTAAGTTCAAAACCTATTGATAGCAAAAAAATTTAGATAATCATCTATATAATACTTATATATTATAACAACAGCTTTTTGTTGATCAGTTGAAATAAGATATCTGTAACTATAGTTACACTAGCATAACTGGCAGGTTATGGGCATCTGTGTAATCTTAGTTATATAAAGAAATGCAAATCAGTACCAGGCAGTGCAAACCTAAAATAAGTTCTTATGATTATGTAAATCTGTAGAACTAAAAAAACTAAAGCCCACTTTGAAAAACCTAAGTAGAGAGGTAATATGAATTTTTGACAATACTACTATAAAGACTAGATCTAGAAAATAGATATCAATGTGAAGAAGCTGAATAGACAAGAATCTTAAGATAAGAGATACTACCAACTAGGCTACTAGAATCGAACTAGAAGAAAAGATATTAGGCTGGCTTGATATACTAAAAACAGATTATAGTTTTTTTGAACTATCTGAATTGAAAATTTAAAGACAAAGCAAAGGTATACTAAAAGTACTAGAAATATACTATGAAGTAAATGCTAAGATTCAGATGAATTTTACAAAGCCTAGCTTTGTTAATGTTCTGTAGAGTAAATAGATAATTAATAAAAGGGTATCCTGATTCTTACAATTAAATAACATGCTTTGAAATGAATAACAGCCTGACAGAGAAGGTTAAATGTTGGATTAGATAGCACTTAGTTGTATAAAAACTAGATGCTACTTACCTAAGTAAAGTATAAAAATCAGAGTATTTAAATAAATAATTTTCTAGTAAATTACAAGTATAGCAGCTAGTATAGAACTCTTGAGCAGACTACTTAAATAGGTAACTAAAAGTTATATATGTGGCTAGTTGTACACTTACCTTATACAAGTTATATGTAATACATTGATTAAAAACACAAATAAAGATAGTAGTTACTAAAAATATTAGCCTTAACAAAAGCAAAAAAATAAAAAAATAAATCCAACTGATTAATAAGAGACAGTTACTATAACACAGATATAGTTTTCAAAATTTGTTATTCATAAATTTTAAATATTAAACCTGTCACTTGTAGGTTAATAATATTTTCACTTTACTAAATTACTATATTTAATGATTAACAATTTATTTACTACTTCAAATTACTATTTTTTTTTTAGTTTTTAAAAGAGAGGTCTATTTTCTATCTTTTTATTAATTAGTTAATTTACATATATCAAATACATGCTGAAGTTCTTTGTCTAAAGTTGCAGAGATTGTATAATTATATATTATTGCTTTTAATACTAAGATAAGATAGGTATGTTGTTGCTTGTCAAGTGCAAAATAGTTGTGTGATTAAATAGATTGTATAAGGTTAATTAAATTAACTAGTGAGAAATTGTTGGTATATATTTTTATGTTAGTATAAAGGTTTATTAAGATTAGCACAAATGTTAGCAAGATTAATAAGATGTTTAAATAAGAGGGCCAGAGTTTGGTAAAGCAATCAAAGTTAGTATAAAAGTGTTAAAGTTGATATTTTGCCACTATATAGAAATTATATTCCAAATTTTGTCAGCCACTTGTTATATATAATATTATATTTTTCTTGTTAAAGTTAGTCTCTATTAGAGTATTCCAAAGTGGTATTAGAGGATTAGCAAAGAAGCAGAAGGGTCTAGCTAAGATTTAGTATGTTTTTTGATTGAAAAGTTGATATGTTGCTGCTGATATTAAGGTTATTGTCTTTTTGAAATCATTTAAGTCAATATGGATTTTCTTTTTACAGTCTACTTAAAGGTTTTAAATTAGTTTTGTTGCCTTAAAGTAACAATATTTAGATGAGTAAGTTCTGTTTTTAAGTTTATATCTTTGATATGCTATTAGTATGTTATTAAGATATAGAATATAGTGTCAAGCTTTTAGGTTTTTGTTAAAAAGGTTGTGTATTTTTCCAAAAGTTATATCTTTTGTAATTATTTAACCTTTTTTGCTAGATGTCTAATTGGTTAGAATGTAAGAATTTAATTGCAAGAATGTTAATGATGAATTTGTAGATGCAGTTATTAGGTCTTGCATTAAGTGAAACCAATAAGAACATTGACCTCAAGATATTTTTTTGATATTGTGATGAAAATTATTTCATGTTAAAAGTTCTGTATTGGTTGCATTTAAAAATTGTTCAATGCTAGTAATATTGTGATTGTTTAGTTTTTTTTTAAGATATAAAACTCTAGGATGGTTTAAGAGGATTTGGTTTATAGGCATGCCTGGAAATTCTTTTGAATGTAGTTAGTCATCAACATCTCATAAGGTTTGCATTTTCAATACATGTAAAGCTATTATTATCTGACATGTTTGTGTATTTATTTGTGTTAGTAGAAATACTGAGAGTTGTGTCAAAATTAAATGTTAGTAAGTGCTATATTTTGTAATTGTTGTAATCGCAATTTCAAAAATGAAAAATTAAGTTGGAATGGTTTAGGTTTTTTTGTAATGTTGAAACTAGTACTGAAGTTTGTGCCTGAGCTAAATCTGTCAATATATAAATATCTGGATTGAATAAAAAAAAGTTAAAAACTCCTTATATTAATTTTGCCTTATGTTTTACTAGTTGGATGCATGCTTTGTTAAAAGAATTTATTTGTAAAGAAGAAAGAAATGAAGAGTATAAGCTGATAGGTAAAACATGGAGTAATGACATTGTTTATAATATAAATTGCTTGTTTTTCTGTTATATTGGCAAATTGCAGTTTTTTTAGATTGATTTTAACTTCTGCTATTATTTCTTTTTGTACTAGTATTGACTTTTTGTTAGTTGAAAACCATGCTTCCAAATATTTGAAAGATGTTCTATAATCTATTGCAATTAATTGTTCATTATCAAAAATTATAGAGTTATTCAAATTTGGAGAGTTTGTGACTAAAGTAAATTTAAATAGATTGACTTTTATATTAGTGAATTTGCAAAAAAAGAAGGCAGTATGCAGAATATTTATAAGAGATATTTTGTTTAGTGCAATTCATAGTAAGTCATCTATGTATGCCATTACAGAGATATGTATTTTTTTTATACTTAGAGAAGGAATTCTATTAATAAATCTCTGATGCTTTTTATGTATTCTTGATATCAATAGGTTATAATATATTTTCCATAGAAGAAGAGAAATTGTCTCTTCTAGGTCTATCTTATCTTCTACTAAATAT